AGAGGCAGCCAGAAGGATGCATGAGGTGGCCGAGGAAGAGGCAGTCAGAAGGATGCATGAGGTGGCCGAGGAAGAGGCAGCCAGAAGGATGCATGAGGTGGCCGAGGAAGAGGCAGCCAGAAGGATGCATGAGGTGGCCGAGGAAGAGGCAGTCAGAAGGATGCATGAGGTGGCCGAGGAGGAGGCAGTCAGAAGGATGCATGAGGTGGCCGAGGAGGAGGCAGTCAGAAGGATGCATGAGGTGGCCGAGGAGGAGGCAGTCAGAAGGATGCATGAGGTGGCCGAGGAGGAGGCAGTCAGAAGGATGCATGAGGTGGCCGAGGAAGAGGCAGTCAGAAGGATGCATGAGGTGGCCGAGGAGGAGGCAGTCAGAAGGATGCATGAGGTGGCCGAGGAGGAGGCAGTCAGAAGGATGTATGAGGTGGAAGGGTCCAGAAGCGTGGTTGTGGCAGAAGAAGAAATGAGTGGCGCAGGGATACAAATGGCGGAAGAAGTTGCGTGGCGAACTTGTGGTTGGGAGTCTGTTGTTGATGTTGAAGAAATCTCGACAAGTGATGATGAAGTTTTTAGCCTTGAGGGCATTGAACAGGTCGATGCGTTGGGCTCCGTTGTTGGGATGGAACAGAATTGGCGCGTTTGCATTGAGGCTGAGGATCGAGGTCTTGGGAGTGATGCCGTTGAATGCAAAACGGTGTATGAACCCCGTTCTACCGTGTGCAGCCTTTCTTTTTGGGAAGCCATGCCTGTTGATGAGGAGGAAGAGGCGCTGCAAGGGCCTGTGGAAGCGGAAGGATCTCAGCGGGATGTTATGGTTGACGCGCGTGAGGAATGGAGGTTTCTAGCGAAGTCTCGTTTTGGGACGACTGAGGAGGAACGGATATTATCGGCTTCGAGAAGTTACAGCGATGAGTACAAGTGGCGGATGCTGAAGATGGTTAAACCGCCACCCGATACACAACCGCCCAAGCCATTTATTGGATTTTCTTTAGCCGAGTTTCTTGTTGAGTCGTTCTTAAAGGTTGATGGCTTGTATGTGAATGGACCCGCGTATCAAGTCGGAATTCGTATTGACGACATACTTCTTAGTATTGAGGGGGACCGTGTTACGAGTATCACTGAGGCTCGAAGGGCCGTGTCGAGGCACTGCCGTGTCGGTTGTCTGACGGACCTGACGCTTCAGCGATCCGATGGTGCGGTGTATACTGTCTCTCTCTGGGTGATGACCGCGGAGCCGCGTTTCAAGGAGGAACCATACTTTTTTGATGTTAGTCAACACAATCGTTTTCAGCGCCACCGTGAGACGACCGTGATTGAAGGTACATCAAGAAAATAGTGAGCAATGGATAATGCTTGCGATTTTTTTTTTTTTTTTTTTTTTGAGGGGAGGGGATATTTTTGATTTATACAAACATTTTCTCAATTAAACAACAACGGTGTTCTGGATATTAAAAAAAGAAAGTCAAACAAAAATAAGACATTGATTGCTTTCACTTTCTTTTTTTTTTTTTTTTTTTTTTTTTTTTGCTTCTCAGGGTTTGTTAAAAAAAACAGGAAAAGATGGGAGGAACCATTGGCGGTTGGGTTTTTGACCATACAATAATTATATGTATATTTATATATGTGTGTGTGTTTGTACATGCATTGGGTGTTATGTTCAACGCTCTTGACTGCGTTTTTTTTTTCTTTTTATCACATATACTGACATCAAAAGGAAGGCACACATTTTTTCTGTATGCCTCGTGCATATTACAAGCCATTTACAGTGTACGAGGAGGCGGTGGGCTTCCATGGCACACGGCGGAACGCGTATTTTTGTTGTGCCTTACTTTTCGCGGGTTTGATGTTTAAAATATTACTGCTTTCGCGGTACTCCACCGCATCTGACTTCTCTGACTTGTCGTCTCTGAAGGACAATCCTCAGTACTCCAATTTGGTGGCGGAGCGCATGGAGTTGGCGGAGAGCCTCGCCTCGCTGGAGGGTATGCGACGGGCCACGAAGAACCGTCGCGCTCCGCCGGCTTAGCGGGAAGGGGCGATAAATGCACCTGCGTCTTTTGAAAGTGAGCCATTTTTTTTTCTCTCTTCTTCTTCAATTATCCTGATTTCGTACTCTCTTTACTTTGTTTTGCGGGGGGTGCACACACGTGATGTCGAATGCGCGACTTTCTGCCTCTTTTTTTGTCTACGAAAGAGTTTGACGGGGCACGACGGGCCCGGGGACACAACTCCATCCACAAGAAAGAAGTACAAGAAGGGGGGCGATAGAAAAACGAGAGGAGGGAAGAAGAACATGCGTCCTCGGGATCTTTGCACCGCGGCCTTCTACGATGATGTGCAACGCATTCAGCAGCTGATACGGGCCGCCCTTTCGGGTGAAGAGGAGGAGGAAGAAGAAGAGATTGTGGATAATGCCGACGAGGAAGATGTGGATGAGGAGGAGCAGCTCTCCATACGCCGCCTGGAACGCGCACAGAAACGACGGGCGACGGTTGCATCTCTGCTTGGCAAGCCGGGCCTTCTCCGCGTTGTCGAAACAGGAGAGGAATATGGGTTTATGTTTCGCGTGGAGGAAACGTACGACAGTGAAGGTGGCCGCCGTTTAAAGCCGAAGTTCAAATTAACCCGCAAAAGTCGATACCCCGCAATGCCGCTTCATTGGGCCGTCCTCGGTCGCTCGCACCGTGCAGTGGAGTTTCTCGTTAAAAATGGAGTGGATGTGCAGCTGGAGGTCCCGGATCTGCCAAGGGTTACCGCAGCTTTTATCTGCGCATGCAACAATTCTTTTGAGACGGCGAGACGATTAGAAAAGGCAATTCAGGGGCAGTGGCAGCGCCTTCAAAAGGAGGAGGAGCAGAAACGCGAATGGGTGGAGGCGCTAGAGTACAAGAAGCAAGAACGTGAGCGACTGGCGGCGCTAGAGGATGAGGAGGAACGCGAGGAGGAGGAGGACATGGATGAAGGAAGAGATGGTGACGGTGCAAATGACAATGACGACGATGACGACGACGACGACGGATTCCCAGAGGAGGATGCATAGCAGCGTGGAAGTAATTAAAAAAAAAAAAAAGGAAAAAAAGTGGGGTCAGATGTAAATAACGGTTGGGTACCACGTGTGTATGTCTGTCGTAACACAGCCTCTTTTTTTAATGCTTACTGGAAACAACACAACAAAAACGACGCAGTTAAGCCAACGAGAAAAAAAAGGTGTGTGTCTCTCCGTTATGCTTTTTTTCCCCATTCTTTTTTTGTGTTTGTCTTTACTTTTTTTTTAAGTTGTAGATTTTTGGAGCAAGAAGAGGAGGAGGACGGGGTGGGGGGACAGGTGGCAACAATGGAAAGGCGTGAGCGATTGTTGGAGGAGTACAAGGGCCTGCAGGCAAACCTGGAGGAGGCCCTTGAGCTGAAGCAGAGCAATCAGGCTGATTATGAGGTGGATGCGTTGATTGAAGAGATCAAGGAGGAGCTACGCGCTGCCGTTGCATCTCTCAATGCCATGGAAGAGATTGAGCAGACACCGGGACTAACAAAGACATTTGGACCTGATGACAAACCCGTCATCTGCTACGCAGAGAGCGCGCCGTATGAAGTGCATTTTGACAATATGGCGTGGTACAGCTGTGTCATCACGGACATCGTGTCACCCGAGACATCGCTAGACCGTATTCGCTACAAGGTGTGGATTTTAGGTTACAACGTGGAGGAGGAGGTTTTTAGTGAACAACTGCGTTTGTGGCAGCCTCAGACTGCCGAGGGAGAGGGCGCACTCCGCTCTGGCGTCATATGTCACGCGATTGATCCCCAATCGGGGAAGTTTCGGTCAGCAAAGGTGGAGCGTCTCACCCTTGATAACACCGTCATTGTCGCTTTTGACGCTGTTGCAGACGAGACGGAGACGGAGACGGCTGCCGCCACTTCCGCTGCGTCGGGAAACGTCACTGCTCCTTTCATAAAGGAGGTGCCGCTGTCTCATGTGCGTGTTGGCCGCTTTTATGAAGAGCTGCGTAAGCGACCATTGCTTACTCCCGAGGAACGGGCGAAGCGGCGGGCAGAGAACTTGGAACGGAAACGAATGCGGATGCAGGCGAAGCGTCAGTTGGAGGCTGATGTGGCAGCACAGAATGCGAATGATTGGCAAAGGCTCGTGGATGATATGGGAATGGGAAATGGCCCCAAAAGGCGGAAACGCTGACGAGTCAATTGCGACTTGTTTCCGCTTGAGACTTTTTTTTCTTGTGGATTTGCTCATTTCCTCTTGTGGGTCGGGCGTTTCTCTTTCCTGCGTCCAGGGGTTTGCTTTTTTTTTTTTTACCGAAACCGTCACACTCGCATTCTGTTGTATTCTTCTTGCTCATTTCTACGTTTTTTTTCTTTCCTTTTGTTTTCACCACTTTTTATTACGGTTATTTGGAGGAACAACTTTTATCATTGCCGTTTACTTTTGAAATCGATGCTGAAGAAGGCGTATCTGCTGGCCTACAATGGCTCCATGCTCACTGGCTGGGCTCTTATTCTTTTTAAGGTTGTCAATCATGTGGCGTCTGGGAAAAACATCTGGGATGTTTACCCGCTTATTGCCAGGCTGCTCCTTGTATTTCAGGGCGGTGCAGTGATGGAGATAATTCATGCCATGCTGGGTTTGGTGCGTAGTCCCGTTCCCACCACCTTTATGCAAGTGTCATCACGCCTTATTGTGTTGTTTGGTTCACTAAGGATTGGCCCAACCGAGTCTCGTCATAGCCCCTTCTTTACTCAGATGGTTGTGGCCTGGTCGTTGTCGGAGATTATTCGTTATGCCTTTTATGCAACGAACCTACTTGACTTTAAACCCAAGATACTCACGTGGCTTCGATACACTGCATTCATGTTGCTTTACCCCGTTGGCATCAGCGGGGAAATTGGCTGCTTTTACAAGGCTCTTCCATACATCAAGGCGAACAAGCCGTGGTCAATGGAACTGCCCAACCGCTACAACTGGACCTTTTCGTGGTACAATACCGTGTGGCTTATCCTCCTTGGCCTCTACCCATATGGCAGTTATGTCATGTACACATACATGCTGCAGCAGCGGCGGAAGGTATTGGGCTTCACCACCCGCACGGCGCCGCCAGCATCAGGAGCTACGACGGCAACAAAAAGCTCGAAGAAGCAATAAAATCCCACAGGAGAGAAGAGAAAGAGGCGGGAGGAATACCCGCAATTCAACTCTAAAAAAAAAAAAAAATTAACCACAACAAAAAGACTACAAAAATATGTACGCACCATCTCTTTTGTTTGGGTTATTCGTTTACAAACACTGAAATTATATCTTTTCCCTCACACACACACACACACGCCACAGCAGTCCAAACAGCTTCAAGGCCGTCAAGGGAAAACGTTCAAAATTTTAAATAAATAAATGGCTGCTGTGTTATTTATCGGTAATTGTTTTATTCATTTAAGTATTTGTTTATTTTTGTCTCTCTTTGTGTGTTTGTGTGTGTGTCCCTCTCGATTTGCATTTGGTACGTGATGGAAAGATGGAGAGAAAATGGTGGCGCTGCAACGTTGATGGGAGCGCCAAAAGGCAGGGAAATAATTATTTTGGTTGCCGGCGCAGAGAGAACAACAAAAAAAAAAAAATCGGAGGGAAGACATGAAAAAGCCAAGCAGCAGGAAAACAAAAAGAGGGGGAGGAAAAAGAAAAAAAGAAAGAAACATGGCACGACCGTTGTATACTCTTTTTTATTTCTTCTTGATTTGTCACATTATGCGAGTCAATTTATTGCAACTGAGGGCCACGCGCCTCTCGCCATCAACGACGACACTTCAACATCACAGGCGAAGAGGACGAAACAAAAAATACAGCTGGGCGCACGCGCTTCACTCAACATTGATGTCAATAAAGAAAATGCACACCGCCATAATAGACGACGGCAATAAAAATACAACAATATATATATGTGCATGCATGTATGGTGGATCGTGTACCGACGTCAATGTCTATGATGCCTCGGATGTGAAATTTCCAGCGCATCTCTTCTTGTCTTAATCAACAACCCCCTTTTTTTTTTTTTACTTCTTTCCAAAGAGGCGGGAATTAGGAAAAAATACATGACTCATTGAACAACAGCACCAAAAACAAAATACAGAAAACAAGAAAAAAAAGAACGTCTTCAATATTTTTTTTTATTAATTCAAAATAAGTGATTGGCGGTATGACGCAATTAACACAAATAATAGACAAGCTGGACACAACAACGTTTCCCGACATGACTTTTTCCAGCATTCGAACCATTGCCAACTACATGAATAGCCACACTACAAATAACAACGATATTGAGAATGACATATCTACTCTAAACACTCAACAAAGAGACATCCTCATGAAAGTCCTTTACTGCTGCCTTGCCAACGACAGTCGCTCCAGCGCCACATACTTTCGATGGCACGAAAAACTACACGCCGTAGCAGGAAGTGGAGCCATCATACGCGTAATGACAGACAGACCAAAAGATACTGGAGAACAAACAAACAACAACAGGAAATAAAACAAAACAAAAAGAACCGCAACAAAAGTAAAACAAAAAAAATTTATAATTTATAACTACTGCTGCTCTTGCCGGCTCTCCGCTGATGTGCTCTTTTTCCTCTCATTTTCTCCTGCGCTTTTCGACTGCTCGCGCAAGATCTCTGCGAACAAGCAACCAGAACCAAGTACGAACCAAGCCATGGCCACCCCCAAGAGCTCGTCGGCGAACCGCAAAAAGGGCGGCAAGAGGTCGCACCGCAATCCGAAGCGGACGTGGAATGTCTACATCAGCCGCTCGCTCAAGTCGATCAACAACCATATGTCGATGTCCGGCCGGACGATGAAGATTGTGAACTCGTTCGTGAACGACCTCTTTGAGCGCATTGCGTCCGAGGCCGCCACGGTGGTGCGCGTCAACAAGAAGCGCACACTGGGTGCACGCGAGCTGCAGACGGCGGTGCGCCTCGTGCTGCCGGCGGACCTGGCGAAGCACGCAATGGCGGAGGGCACCAAGGCGGTGTCGCACGCCTCTAGTTAGATCCTTTGTGGCGTTTCTTGTTTTTACAAGCGTCTAGAAGCACTTTTTTTCGTTTTCTTTTTTTTGATTTAGGCTCCTTCACCCTCTTCCGTTTTTTTTTTTTTTTAATGCCGCGGGACGTAGCCCTCTGGGCGGCTCGTGGTGCGCGTGTGGTTTTCATGACGGGCCGCACGTGAAGTATAGAGGGAGTCTGATTGCTGTGCGGGTGGAGGTGCCCGATGCTCTCGCCCTGTTTGTGTGTCTGTGTGTTTGGCTGCAGCTGCTCTTGCCGGCTCTCCGCTGATGTGCTCTTTTTCCTCTCATTTTCTCCTGCGCTTTTCGACTGCTCGCGCAAGATCTCTGCGAACAAGCAACCAGAACCAAGTACGAACCAAGCCATGGCCACCCCCAAGAGCTCGTCGGCGAACCGCAAAAAGGGCGGCAAGAGGTCGCACCGCAAGCCGAAGCGGACGTGGAATGTCTACATCAGCCGCTCGCTCAAGTCGATCAACAACCATATGTCGATGTCCGGCCGGACGATGAAGATTGTGAACTCGTTCGTGAACGACCTCTTTGAGCGCATTGCGTCCGAGGCCGCCACGGTGGTGCGCGTCAACAAGAAGCGCACACTGGGTGCACGCGAGCTGCAGACGGCGGTGCGCCTCGTGCTGCCGGCGGACCTGGCGAAGCACGCAATGGCGGAGGGCACCAAGGCGGTGTCGCACGCCTCTAGTTAGATCCTTTGTGGCGTTTCTTGTTTTTACAAGCGTCTAGAAGCACTTTTTTTCGTTTTCTTTTTTTTGATTTAGGCTCCTTCACCCTCTTCTGTTTTTTTTTTTTTTTTGATGCCGCGGGATGTAGCCCTCTGGGCGGCTCGTGGTGCGCGTGTGGTTTTCATGACGGGCCGCACGTGAAGTATAGAGGGAGTCTGATCGCTGTGCGGGTGGAGGTGCCCGATGCTCTCGCC